GGTGTAGCGCCTGTGAATGTTAGTTCGAACTAACATCCGTTAGTTCGAACTAACATTGTAGTGTAGACATACCCATAGTGAATGCTAGTGAGAAGGTACAAGGTTTAGAAGATAAAATAAAACAAGAACAAGTTAAAAATTCCTTAGGTAAGTCAGATGGCTTTAAATCAGGAGGACCTGCTGAAATGCATCTTAGCCCACTCAAGGAGCTGATAGAGGAAGTATCTGAGCATTTAGCTATCATCTTTGAAAAATCATGGAAGACGGGAGAGATTCCAGAAGACTGGCAAAGGGTAAATATAGTGCCATCTATAAAAAGGGATATAAGAATGACCCAGGAAACTACAGACCAGTCAATTTAACTTCTGTGCTAGGGAAGATAATGGAGCAAGTAATTAAGGAATTCATCTGCAAACATCTAGAAGATAAGAAGGTGACAGGTATGAGCCAGCATGGAATTGTAAAGAACAAATCATGTCAAACCAATCTGATAGCTTTCTTTGACAGGATATCAAGCCTTGTGGATAAGGGAGAAGTGGTGGACATGGCATACCTACACTTTAGTAGGGCACAGTATCACATGACCTTTTTAACAATAATCTAGGGAAATGCAGTTTGGCCAATGTACATGGCAGAGGGGCACTGCTCAAACAAATTCTTTCCAGTAACCAAACAGCACACCATCATAATCATCCAGGAACCCACCCCCGCAATCAGCCCCGGTGCCTACTCTGTTCACATACCTACACAAGCGATTTCATCACTTGACCCAACTACATGAGCCACAACATCAGGGGCTCATTTAACTGCACATCCACTAATGTGGTCTATGCAATCAAATGCCAGAAATACACCTCTACCATGTATATTGATCAAACTAGACAGTCTCCATGGGAAAGGATTAATGAACACAAATCAGATCTCCGAAAAGGCAACACACAGAAACCCGTTGGAGAACACTTTATCCTGCCCGGGCACTCATTAATGGATCTCAAAGTCACTGTGTTGTTTAAGGCCAATTCCACAAGCCAAATACACAGGGAAGGGCTGGAACTTAACTTCATTTACAAGTTTGGGAGCCATCACAAAGGTATGAATAAAGATGTTACCTGGCTAGCACACTACCTTCCACATCCTAATGACTTAGCCAACCTGACAATGGGTACTAAAGAACAATTTGCACCTTTTCTATCAGCTTCTTGAAACATGAACACTCTAATTCACTATTTTTTCCTCTCTCCCCCCCATCCCCTATTTATTTTGGAACTGGACTTTTAATACTCCATTCATCTGAAAAAGTGGGTTGTACTCATGATACCATCTACATGTTTTGTTAGTCTTTAAGGTGCTGCTAGACTATTAGTTGTTTTTTAAGTTTTTCCAGCTACAGACTAATGCAGCTACCCCTCTGATACTTTATAGTGACAGACTAAGAGAGTTCTGTTTAGCTTAACAAAGAAAAGTTTAAGGGATGTCATGATCGATATCTGTATGTACCTACATGGGAAAGAAATACTTTATAGCAGGCTCCTCAGTCTATCAAATACAATTATAATATGATTCAAAGGTTGGAAGTTGAAGCTAGACAAATTCAAACTGGAAATGAGTCATCCATTTTTAACAGGGAGGGTAACTAAATTTAGTAAGGATTTTCTACCACTGGCAATTTTTAAATCGAAATGAGATGTTTTTATAAAAAGACAGACTACAGGAATTAATTCTAAGTTGTCCTATAGCCTGTCTTATGGACACTAAAATAGAAGATCCCAGTGGTCCCTTCCAACTCTGTCATCTACAAATCTAGATATATGAAATGTGAACTTGTACATTTATCTTCTCCACCAACTGAAAAAGAAATAGAGTTTTCTTTGCAAAAGGCATCCTTTATAAAAATTCCATTTCAGAACCACAGAAATGACACCTGGAGATGATTTCTTGGTGTATGAGAAACTCCCATGTGATATATTGTATCCTAATGTTTGTGTTCTGTGTCAGCCACAACCAGGCCAAATATAATACACTGACCTGGTAATCCAACATGAGGAGAAGCGTGCACCGCACACTCACATCACCGGGCCTCTTCACCTGGAAGCCATCAGTCTCCTGGGTAGTGGGAGTTCTATGCCACTGCCAGAGGAGAAAAATACACAGTATTTTACACAAAGTATATCACTAGTTCAACAGTAGGGTTCTGAAATCACACACTCCCAGTAGGGTTGCCAGGCATCCAGTTTTTAATCAGAATGTTAGGTCAAAAAAATACAGTGGAAGCTTTAGTCAGCAGTGCTGACCCAGCAGTGCAGAGGGGCCAAGGCAGGCTTCCTGTGTGGCTCCCAGAAGTGATAGCATATCCCTTGGGGGTGCGAGGAAGAAAGAGGCAGGCAGCACAGCAGAGCAGGTGCTGGGGGGAACCGGCTTTTTCTATCAGAGGCAGCAGTGCGGGGCATGGAGCAGGTGGATCTGGTGCTCCTGGTGAGCCTGTTTAAAGCCAGCTCCTCGAAGGCACCGGCTCCCACTCCCCTCCCTTTCTGTCTCTGATACAAAGTCAGCAAGGGGTGGGGAGTGCATGTAGCTGATAAGATCAACTGATAACCCATGGCTTATCGGTTAATTGTGTAGTGGACTGCATGTTGATGTACCTGGTGGCTTTTGCTATAGCGAACTAGCCACACTGTACTGGCCAAATAGTCACATGTGGATAGTGTGTTGGACACCACAGTACTACATGTACTCCTGTTGAAAAATGTTTTAATCCATCACACTATGATTTCAGCTCAATTTCTCTATGAATTCTCAGTGTCACCTCCAGGCGGTGTACTAGATGGCAAGGACAAGCTTCAAACATACCAGTGCCACACGACAGAACCAATAGTACAGCCAAAGGTTTTGAAACCCCTCCCCCCTTCTATGCCATTGAGCAAAGTTCCAAAGTGCTCAAATATGCTACCTTTGTGACTCCCCCTTTTGCTGTTGTGACCAGTTAAAAGATATAGGATATCCACATACTTGTAGGCTGCACCCAGCAGCCTGGACTGCCTAATTCCTTCATGGACTTTCAAAATGCCCTTCCCTCAGCTACTGAATGGTTAAAATGCTTCTAGACTAACAGATCTGACTTGAAAAAACTTAAAAAATAACAAACAGTCTTGCAGCACCTTAGAGACTAACCAAATGTGTAGATGGTATCATGAGCTTTCGTGGGCACAACCCACTTCATGATACCATCTACAAATTCTATTAGTCTCTAAGGTGCTGCAAGTTTTTTCAGTTACACACTAACACGGCTACACCTCTGAGACCTGACTTGATCATCTATATATCTTTGGAAAATACCCAGATTAAACAGGTCCCTTTTTCCCTGGTAAACTAACAGGGATTACTGCAAAGCAATTAAGTTACGTGGAATCATTCAAGAACTGGCTGGAACCAATTAAGGCAAGCTGGCTAATTAAGACACTTGCAAGAAGCCTTTTGTGCAAGAGTTTTTGTGCAAAAACTTCTTGCACAAGAGCACATCCACACCTCAAAGCACATTGCAAAAGCGATGTGCTTTTGCGCAAGACAGCGTCCACACTGCATGGTCACTCTTGCGCAAGAAATCTCTGATGGCCATTCACCAGAAGGGAAAGACTGAGAAAAGAGATCTGTCCTGTCCCTAACCCAGCTGGAAAGGCAGCAGAGACTATGAGGCTTATTCTCCTCCCTTTCTCCCATGCAGGCCAATGATGAGGGTGGCTAAATAAATGGCAGGAATGGGAACACCCTTCCTTGTCCCCACGCACACATGCACATAGTCTAGCAGAGTTACCTGGCGTTGCTTGGGTCTTTAACTCATTTTTATGTTTTGGAAAATAAAAGGAAAATATACATGCTTAAAAAAATCCAATAATTTCAATAAAAGTATAGTGTTGTTTTTATTGCAATTAATTTTTATTTTTGATTTCTTTAAAAAGGGATTGTTAAAGTTTGCCTACATATTTTTCCTAATTTTAAAAAAATAGGAATTCCATCAAGTGTATTTTTCTTCATCCCTATAATCTCTTATCATTTGCCATGCTTTAATAAAAAAGGGCTTTAGTCAATTTGTTTTCTAATAACATTGTCTTCTATGAGCCAGGGGATAGAAATGGTGTCCCTGGCCTCTGTTTGTCAGAGGCTGGAGAAGGATGGCAGGAGACAAATCGCTTGATCATTGTCTTCGGTCCACCCTCCCTGGGGCACCTGGTGCTGGCCACTGTCAGCAGACAGGTTACTGGGCTAGATGGACCTTTGGTCTGACCCAGTACAGCTGTTCTTATGTTCCAGCTGACCCAATCAACCTGTCTCAATTGGTTCTAGCAGGTCCTTGAATGGCTTCAGGTGTCTTAATTAACCTAGACCAGACTTTTTCATTACCAGGGAAACTTTTTAACTTTGGGGGCAATATATTTGCTTTTTGCTACTTTCTTGTAACCATCTGGCCTGACCCTATTACAATAGCTATATCAATATATATATAATATTTCTAGGAAGGAATTTGCACAGTGATTAATGTAAAAATAAAACATGGCACTTACAATACTATTATTTTTAAGTGAATGCTTAAACTTTTAAGTATTTCTCTTGATTAGCCAATATATCATGTAAATTTCTTCATCCAGAAATCATAGTAAAGATGAAAGACCCACACTGACTGAATCCTCATAAGAGGGAATCAGACTGAGCATCAATAAAATTTCAATAGCAATGTTGTCTTTTTCAAAGCCAGGGCTTTGTTGCTTGTGATGCCAGATTGATGATTATTTAAACACTACAGTCACAAAACACTACCTCTTTCATATCACTAATAGCGAACATATATCATCACACCTTACTCGCTGTTCCCAACATGGTAATCTGAGAATACACTTCTGAGGCCATTAACATTCCAGCAAGAAAGAGGTCATGAAAATAAACATGGGAGGAAGAATTAAGAGTGTACAAAGTTGTTGAGCTACAGTAGAAGCAAGCTTGTGTGGCATGGTTGCATGACCCTCCTACCTCCACCAGATGATTGTCAGGTCCATAAAGATCTTTGTCCAGCTCAATGACCAAACTTTTAAAAAATGAGGAAAACTTCCGCTTCTGTTTGCTGAGCTGTAAAATCAGAAAACAGAGAAATTTCCAAGCACACACCTCATCCTGGATTTACTAGTAACCTTGTGTGATCTCCCTCTTTGGAACACGAATTCCCAGTCTCCTGCCTCAGAGTGGTCAGTTAGAGGAAGGTGCAATAAACCTGATAGTGAGCAACTATGGAATAACCTGCACATGGGGGAAGATTCCCCCTAAACCTGTCAGAAAACCTTAGCTTGTACCATGGAGAAAAACAGTTTATCCAATCTATTGTAAGGTTGGATACTCTTTTTCAGATTTTAAAAAAATAAATAAATAAAGCACAAGGCCTCAAACTTGTGGCTGGGTGCACCACAGGTTAACCACACAGTACAAAAATATTTCCTTTTGTCATATTTAAATGTTGCCATTTTAATGCATTGCTGGTCACCATGTCTGAGTCTCATCCTGTCCCTGCCAGAAACATGCCATGGTTTGACAGTTGCCATGAAACATCTGCTGCTTATCATACTAATCATGATTGTTTCACTATTACCTACTCCACACATTTGCTAGTGTTTTCCACCTGTTGTCTCTCATCACATCTTAGACTGCAAGTTCTTTAGGAACAGGGACTCTGACTGAAAGCATCCATATATTCACAACCTACACACTACTGTAGTAATCTTTGTACAGAATATGTTCTGTGAAGAATCATTTGAAAATTAATAACTGGCAGGTGATACAATGGTGAAATGTATTTAACCACATATATTTAAAATTATGAAGTCTCCTTGTACGAAGATCTCACATTTTCAAAACCATGCTGCCATGACTAGGCAAAAGTTGTTAAACAGGTCAATCTAAACAGAGGAATGAGTGTTCATCTAAATGTGTATATTAGGGCTGTCAAGTGATTAAAAAAATTTAATCACAATTAATCACGTGATTAAAAAATTTAATTGCACGCACCTTCCCTTTGAAATGCCCTGGTGGCGTTTCAATGGGGCAGCATTGCTGAAGCCCAGGATCAGCTGGTGCACTCCAGCAGCTCCCTGGCTCTGCTGGTGACATTTCCAAGTGTCAAGTGTGATGGCACATTAGGAGCCTGGGATCAGCTGGGCAGTCCAGCTGATTCCCGGCTCTGCTGTTGTAAAGCCCCTTTGAAGCGCCGGAGCAGCACTTCAATGGGACTTTGCTGGGCACTCCAGCTCATCCCCAGCTCCACATTGCAAAGCCCCTTTGAAGTGCTAGAGCAACATTTCAAAAGGGTAGCGCAGCATTAACACCTGCGTTAAAAAAAATTAACATCCTGTCCTGCCTTAACCTCAGGCATTAATGTAGGTCAATTGACAGCCCTAGTGTATATACATAGTAAACACGGTCATCAGGACAGTAAAGGGGAAATAGCAAATCTGCATTTCAGAATAAAGAGGTGAAAAGAAAGAGCTTGGAGCCTCCTTCAGCACCAGCTCCAGGTCACCTTCTTTACTCTTTGAATAAACTTTGCTTGGAAGAATAATCTTCAGAGGGAGCCAATTCAACGGGTGACTGGACTATAAACGTGAGAGGCAAAACACCCCAAATATCACTCTTCTATTTAGGAAAAGAAAAGGAACCAGCCTTTTGACTTTCAAGGGAGATCCTAACCTAAGAAAGTGGTCAGCCATGTTGTTGGGAACATGTGGTAAGGATGTTACATTGAACCAACTCAAAGTTTGTTCCGTTTTTAAACTAAGGCCTGGAAGTAAGCCACCAGGTGTGGAAAAGCACATGGTTTGGATAGAAACATACCTACAGTGAGGATCTATTAATGGAGATTCTCTATGTCCTAGTAAAGAGGAAAGGAGGAAAAATGATAAAATACACCTATGATCTGATCAGAAACAGCCAAATGAAAAAAGAGTCCCATTCAATCACATCATGTAAGGGCAGACAGCTAAAAAGTGACAAGGTGCTTATCATATATATAGTAACCCAATGTCTGTGACTCTGTAATGCTGAAATGCTGGCTGTGGCACACAGTTGACTTCTGCGCTGCTCAGCGGGGCCGCTGCGCAGGAGCAAGCAGCGCAAGCGGCTGTTTGGGGCCCACGCTCCCCATGCAGCACAGGGGTGGGGCAGTGATGTACACGTCCGGGGGTGGGGCCTGGATGGGGGTGCAGCATGGGGAGCGCAGGGCCCAAACGGCCGCTGGAGCTGA